GTGCTGAACCCCCCAACGGCCGCCAAGACAGAACGCGGCCGCGGTCGCGCTCCTTCCCGCCCGGCAGTTGTAAAGGGAAGTCTCTGTGCATTCGACGACCTGCGATGACGAAATTTTCCCCGTGGCCTTCTTCGACCTCCTCCTCTTGGACCTCCTCTTTTGCTCTTCTTCTTCGTCTTTCTCTTCGTGCTCCTCGCCCTTTCTCTTTTTCATTTTCTTGCTCCTCGATCTTTTTCCATAGTACGTGTAAGAGTTTGAATTATATGCATAAAGGTTTTGTAAATACGTGTGAAAGTTTCTTTCCGTTACGTGTTTGTTTGCAAGTTTTCGGTAATGCCGAAGTGAAATTAGAAACTTAGCAGCACGACGTAAGAGTAAACAGGCATTTATAACGGAAACCGGAGACAATACAACAAAACAAAAAAAAATAATTCAGAAATAAAGTAAAATTGTTTGGGACATGAAGTTTACCGCTTTTACGAAGTATTCCCATGCCAGACCCATGCCAAATACATTCCGAATACGAATGTTTTTTGTCCCCCGTCTTCTTCTCCTCCTATCTCCTTTTCTTCATGTCTTTATTATTCCCGCATTTCTTTTTTTCGTTTCATTATCGTTTTCCTTTTCCTCCTCTTCCTCCATTCCTGTTTTTTTTTTTCTGTTTGTTCTTTGTTCCCTCAGCCGGTTTGACGACGACCTGTTAGACGATAAAGACATTCCTCGTGAATATAATGAAGACAAGATGCGTAGTGATAACGAAATTGCTCGATGATACGTGTGCTTTCCATGTCCGCTGGTACACCCTCCGCGCATTATTCCCCACCGTGACCCCCAACCTCGAGCCCCAAACTCGAAATTTCAAGCCTGAGCTCAAATGTTGAGGTTTCAGGCTCCATGGGTGAGGACATGCAAAGAGGAGGTAAAATAGAGGGGAGGTGGGAAGAGAGGATGTAAGAACACGTAAAAGGAGAGGAAGTATGGACGGTAAACGGATGTACAAGGAGGTGGGAGGAGGTAGACTGGAAGAGAGCATGGGAGTAAACAGGAGGTAGTAGGGAAGGGAAGGGGAAGTACGAGAAGGTAAGAGGAGATACGAGGACGTCGTTGGAGGTAGAAAGAAGGAAGAAGTATGGGGAGGTGGGCGGAGATAGGAGGTAGCGCGTGGTAAGAGGAGGCACGAAGATGGAGGAAGAGTTAGGAGGAGGTTGAAGGGGAAGTACGAGAAAGTAGGAGGAAGGAGGATAAGATATGAGGAATTAGTGAGGAAGTAGGAGGAAAAAACCAAATACGATAATGTATAATGTAGGATGATATACGAGGAGGAAGTAGTAGGAGTTAGGAAGGGTACGGGGAGTTAAGAGTAGAGGTATGGGGGACGTATGAAGAAAGGGGGGGTAGGAGGAGGTGGGGGGAAGTAGGAACAAATATGGGAGAGGTGGGAGGAGGTAAGAGGATGTAAGAAGACGTGGAAAGAGATAAGATGTATGCGGATGTCCCATTCCAGAGGCGGGAACAAAGATGAAATAGAGCCAGGCTGGCAATGTCGTCCCCCTCCTCCTTGTGCTCCCCTTCCTCCTTATCCCTTTCTTTCTCGTCCCCCTCTTCCTCATACTCCTCCTCGTCGTTCGTCTTTGTGGTTTGAATCGCAGCGTGTCTAGGTTCAGGCCAATCGAGGCGCTTCATTTTACTATCCTGGGTCCGCTCCGTTGGACAGGGTATCCATACAATGCCGTGCAATAGCATGTGGCTTTCCATGTTCTCGCTGATCTAGGCCTCTGCCTTAAATCAACTGTTGGTCGTTTTCGTTCATTCTAAGGGCGGCTATTGTGCAGATGTGTTCGTCGAAACTCGTAGCGACGATTCCAGCCTTCGGGAAAACGCAAGTCGTTCAAAAGCGACATACCGTTCGATTCCGATCCATGCTGTTTCTGCCAGGTCGGCACCTGAGAAAAACAAGGCATGGGGGGTAGGATATATGGAGAGCGACGCCTCAAATTTTGCGGTGGACTGGGACACCTTCAGCGAAGTACAGATGTCGAGGTTCCTGCGGGCCCACCGGATGATTACCGAGACGGACTTACACGGTTCGTTGTGCCTGTATGTATGTATGTATGTATGTATGTGTGTGTATATATATATATATATATATATTCTCCTAAGTTTGGGAACTCCCCCGACCCCCTGAATACCGCGGAGTGGCGACGGCCACAGAAGACGATGTAGTGGGATGTATGTCTGTGTGCTGCTTTAGCCACGATCGCTCGAATCAGAACGTTTTGACCTGGTCGTATTTCTGAGCGCTCGCCCTGCAGGAAATCGAACAAACAAGCGAGCCGTATGCAATACTCAAAACCGCCTTGCTATATAAAGGGAGTCGCGGGCGGACCACACAGCTACAAAACAAAGAAGGGATCGCACCGTTCTATCAAACTTCAGAAGAAACACGTGCTGGCACTGCTTATCTTCTCCTAGGTTTGGGAACTCCCCCGACCCCCTGAATACCGCGGAGTGGCGACAACCTCAGAAGACGATGTAGTAAGATGTCTGTCTGTGCACTGTTTTAACCACGATCGCTCGAATCAGAACGTTTTACACCTGGTCGTATTTCTGGGCGCTCTTGCGCACTGCTGAAGACCACTTGCCTGGGCCTGAGAAGAACTCCACTGCCGCCCGAGGTAGACGACGTTTGCCAGCACTCACGGCAACTCTAAGGATTCGAACGCTTCAAGAGGACATCTCCGATTTTCTTCCAGGCGTCGTCGCAGAAGGCCCGCGCCGCGACAGGCAGCGCGGCGATCTGCTCGTTGATGCGGTTCTGCTTGCCGTAGCGCCTGACGGAAAAGTCCGCCGACCAGCGGCCGCGAGCCTTGACCTCGGCCAGGCGGCGGATCCGCTGGGCCAGGTCGTAGCTCGGACCTGTGTGGCGGAGCTGGTGCGCCACCGGCGGCTTGGGAAGACCAAGCCGCTCGCCCGCCATCTTGAAGACCATGAGGAACGAGCGGCCGCCGAGGTCGCACACTACCAGCTCGTCGAGGCGGTCCTCCCGCTTCGCCTTGGCATGCATCACCGACATCACCTGATTGAGGAAACTGAGATGGCCGTCTGCGTCGATCGATAGATATGTTCTCGTCGAACTCCTCTGCCTTGGACTGGGCGCCGTCCTCTCGAGGGTGCAACGTCAGGCAATGCCCGTCGGTCCCTCCTCGGCCTGCCCTGCACGGCGGGGACCAATGCCTCCACTTCATGCGCATCAACTCCGACGGCCTGAGGTAGAGGTGGAAGGCCAGGAGGCCCCCGAAGGCGGCGAGTGCGAAGCCCAGCGAGCACAAAACCATTGCCAGGCCGAAGACCGCCGTCGCTGGAAGAATCGGCAGCCGGGAGGCCGCCGGAAAGAGCTTGCTGAAGCCCATCAGCGCTCGGGAAGTCTCGGGCAAGGACTGGCCCCCCTGGCGACCAAACTGCGGGAACTTCCACCGGGTAGCCGCCACTAGGGTGTTCGCTACGCCGCTCAGCTCCCCCTCGAAGTAGAGCTCGTCGAGGTGGAACTTCAGCTTCTGGCCCAGCGCCTTGGGCGCACGAGCCAGCGCGTAGAGGCCCCTGATACTCTGATCCTTCACGAAGCGGTCGAGCGCTGCCTTGCACTGCTGCTGCGCTGTCCGAGAGACACTCCCCTGCTCGAGGAAGGACCGGCTCACGGCCTGGAGGCTCCTCCTCTCGACGGCGTGCAGGGAGCGCCTGGCCTTCTTGCGCTCCTCCGCGTCGGGGCGCGACTTGCTGGTCTCGATGGCCGTCCTGCTGGGCTGCGCCGCCGCTGGGCGCTTCCGCGCTGGACGGCGGCGCCGCGCGGCGGGCGCGGGAGGGTCTCGCGCCAGGATCGGGCTCTCGAGCATGTGGGTCCTTGCCATCTCGCGAACGCTGCCGCGCGGCGGCGAGGGCGTCGAGGGTGTTGGACCAGGGCTCGAGCTCCGACCTGTTCCTCGAGGGGGGATCGCCTGGGTTGAGCTCGGAGACGACCCACCTGATATCCGCCGTAACATTAGCTCTGAGGGCCACTGCGCAGAATTGCCGGACAGGTCGCACGAGGCCTGGAGCCGAGGTCGGCCCTTGAGCAGAGCTAAGATAGAGACCATGCTGTCACTGATGATCAAGAATCTGTGGGACCTGTTCGAGACGGATTTTGTCAGATGCCGAATGCACCAAACCAATGTGCGGCACTCCAGGGCGGTGATGTGCTCTCGGCGCCCTCCCAAGAGCCCACGACTTTTCGCCTTCCCCCGAGATCGGTAGGTTGGGCACGAGCCCCTCGTCCGCGAAGCTCAGCTCCAAGAACTCACCTGAAGGCAGCGCCCCGCCGAGAGCCTCCTCCAGCGCCCCCGTCCTGGCAGATCCCGAGGTCCCCTGATATCGCCAGCGCTCCGAGTACTGCGAGAGGTCCCGAATCGCCCCCGCGGAGCGGGACTTGTGAGAGACCCCTTTTCCCCACATCGAGGCGTCACATGCCAGGGCCCTGGGGCTGAAAGGCTTGGCCAGATCATGGACGAGGAGAGGTAACAAAGACTGGATCCAGCGGGGCTCCCTAACGACCGACGGCCAGAACGGAGCAGAGTCCTCGGGGTGCTTAGCCACGAAAGCGTAGACCGCGTTGAGGCAGCAAAGGGTTTCTCTTTTCACCAGCGCCATGGAGACAAAGTGTCCGACAAGCCGAGAAAGCTGACGTCCAGTCCCCTGGCGGCGCTCCAGTGCGTGAAAAAAAATGCAAGCCATAGACGCCATACGCGGGGCCCCTTCGGCACAATACACCTATCATCTCGACCGAATTCCCAACCCAAGGCCTAAAGAACCTCTCGATCAAACCTCTTATCATGAACGACGAGACCCCTCTCCTCCATGATGTTGCTGATTTTTGTTTGGATGGGCCTCCCCTTTTCCACCTCGGTACTTATGGTAATGATGTTGTCCGCATAAGGTATAACCGCCCCCTCTTCCAACTACGGAATGACCTCCCGATCCGTGATCAGGAAGTGGTGCTTATCTGGGATCGCCTCCTGGATCAAAGAAGTGACAACATACTGACAGACATTGACAGCGTGCGACCACCCCATAGGTAGAGCCCTGAACCGCGGGTAAACGCGAGCAGCAGGATCCACTGGGACCCCAGACACCTCCGAGATCTGCAAGTCCTTGGCACTGAGGGGCTCCATGGTGAAATACCTTCGAAGGGGGTCGGGGAGTTCCATAATATAAAAAGCATCCTTCAAATCCGAGGAAAACGTGTGCAACAGACTTTCCCCCTGGAACCTCAACCTCGAGAAAGCGTTAGCCGTGGGGGGGTCGGGCGACTCGGGGGCCTCAAAACTGCAATTGGAAATCCGAGCGTCCAAAATGAGGCGTTGCTTCGCCCCGTCCGACTTCCAAACCGCAAAGATCCCCGTTCGGACTCCATCCGTTAAACTGAACTCGACAAGCCCCGCGGCCTGAAGGCGAGCCACGAGAGACTTGTACACCCTTTTAGAACGCAGACGTGGGTCACTGTACGGCCTAACTAGACCAGCTTCCTCACGATTTCTTTGCTGCAGCTCCTTAGGCAAAACTATATCACATGAAATCCTCTTGATGAGCTCAGCGCCGCGGGCCCCCAAAAGGTCGCCCAGGGGCCGCGACTGGAAACCAGGCTGTGGGAGTGACAGCTTGTCCACGTCTAGAAGAGCCAGGTGGCACGGAATCCCAGCGTAGTCTTCGACCCCCTGGAGCTCACTGAAGGCCCCCCGAGGATCAAGCCCCTCTGGTGGACGGCCCATGCGCCGCACCCGAGAGGTAAAACAAGTATGCTCAGCGGGCGAAGGAAGCGAGGCCTGGCCCTCAGCCGGCTCAGGAAGGCCATCGCCTCGCTCGAGCTCCGCGAGTGCACGACCCAGGGCAGCGACCTTCTCACCGACGTGCCCCCTCCTCCTGAAGCGTCGCTGGACAGCCCGGCATCCTCGAAGCTGCGGAGGCCCAAGAGCAGAGTCAGCCGCCTTCGCTGCCGCGTCACTGGCTGAAATGACGCGGCCCCCCTCCCGTGAAGCCGGCCAGGCGCGAGGGGAAGCCTGGCCAACGCTCATCATCATCCTCGCCGCCGCAAGGCGCGCTCCTCACGCGCCTTGCGGGATTGCTTATCAATTGCACTCTGCCGCTCCAGCTCCTTCGACGTGTATGTGATCAGCTCAGGGGCGATCATGAGGTTGTTGCCCTGGCTCTGGTGGACTCCCAGCATGACCGTCTGCTCCTCCATGTCCACTCCCGACTTGGAACTGGTCGCACCCTCCTGTCGAGTATGCTCTCGATGATAATACTCGATCAGCTGGGCCGAGCGCAGCAAGTGCTCCATCGATGCCAAGTTGACCAGATCAAGCTGATCGTACTCCGCGCCTGTCTGCACGGCGCGCAGCGCCGCCTCGTGGAACGAGACGCCGTAGTTGTCGCTGTTCAGCTTGGCCGTGGACTTCCACCACTCGTGATGCGCCAGGGGCCCGTTCCTCCTTCGTAAGAAGTCCAGGCACCAGCGCGTAGTCCTCGGGCCTGGGATGTGCGTCTCCCAGTCCGAGAAACTCACGAGCTCCATCTTCTCGACCGCGTCGCTGAAGTCCCGCTTGCGCTGGCCCGCCACGCTCTTGATGGGCAGGGTCCGCGCGTCACCGTCGTCGTCCGTCTCGATGCGGAACTTCCTCTTCGCGTCGGCCAGATCAGCAGCTGGGCATCTGACGCAGAAAACCATCTTTTCCACGCCGTCATGCACGTAGAAGTGGATCGCCCTGTCGCCGCTGATGACTGCATCCTCATTGAGGCGCACGACGCTGCCCGTCTGGATGCCTGGCGCCTCCTCGATAGCACGCCATAGGTCGGCATTGCCCGCGGGGGCGCCTCCGCCGCGAGCAGCCTCGGAGCGCGCCAACAGCCTGGCCTCCTCCCGAAGGCCCTGCAGATGGGCCCCCTCTGGCTCCTGGCGGAACCGGTAGACGTCCTGCGGGTCGATGCCGCGGGGGCCCCCGCCACGGCGGTCGGACAGGCGGAAGCCCTCGATGTCCTCGTTGTGGCGGCTGAAGTCCTCCATGTACACATCGCTGTCGGGGGTGGCGATGATCCAGTCAGTCGCCGAATCTCCCACCTTCTCCAGTAAAGGTCTTTCGTGCCATATGGGATGGCCCGCGTACTTCACGAACGCTCTCGTGCCCCGCTCCACGGTGCTTGGCTGGCTTCAGAACCTGAGGCGGCACGCGCGCAGGTTGAGCTGGGGCCGATGGCAGCGCTGGGGCCGCCTCGTGAGCAGCACGCCGAGCCGTCCTCCTCTCGAAGAAACCAGGCAACTGAAGCCAGATGATCTGGAAGAAAGCGGTGGACACCACTCCGCAGCAACACCCTGAGATGAAGAGCAACGCCGCACCGAGAGCGAGGATGACCGCCACTAGGATGCCCTCCGAGATGCACGCTCCGTTCAAGCTCGCAGTCCAGCCGAAGCAGTAGAATGAGGCCTCGAAGGCTTCTCTGACAGGAACCTGCTGTGGTGAGAGCGGGCCACCAAGAAAACATAAAGTTGCGGCTGCGCCCCACAGCTACAGAACAAAGAAGGGATCGCACCGTCCTATCAAAGTTCAGAAGAAACACGTGCTGGCACTGCTTATATATATATATATATATAATTTCATTGTGCTTTCGCGGGGGTACAATGAAGAGTTCCAGCGGCAATTAGCGAATTACCGGGCCAATGGGCCTCAAGAGGACTCAGCTACTGGAGCCAGTATTTCGGCGCAGCGGTGCCCACCACGTTCAAATAATGACGAAAATTGTGCTTCTAGTATTTGCGCCCGATTCTGGCATTTTCTGCTTGCAATCGGACAGGCGAGGGATGATGGATGGTGGCAACGACGGCGACGTCATGAGGAGGAAGGGGCACGGGGAAAAAAGTTCGTTGTTCAGCCTTTGCCCAGGTACACGCAATATTAGCTAGCAAATACCGTAAAGTCATCAAACAACACCCGGACAACCAACCAGTTCGAAGAACGGTCTTGCGACATGGCGAACATCGAATCGTCGGTGACTGGAGTGTCAAAGTGGGAACAGATCGACAAAAGAGGGCAGAGAAATGCTTTCGGTCTCGCGCAAAGCCCGCCGATTGCTACCAAAGTCAAACGCAGAGAAGGAAAACAGCCTGCGAGGTCGCGTGCCCCAACCGGACGGACTGAGGTACCAATTCCGTTATCTGTCCGCGGTGCTGTGGACAAGCCCACGGCTGAGCGCTTGTGGAAGGCATCGTTGGCCAGGCGGCGATCGCCTCAAGAGGACTAGCGGGGAAATTGCAAAATAACAAAGTTTTTCCGCATATTATGTATATTGCCTTGTTGTTCGTCAGTTATGCGAGGCATCGTGCATACGAATCAAAACATGGCTCCGCAGGAAATTGATTTTGAACTGGCTGTGGAAGGCCACCATGATCCGCACGGTGGCCAAGGTCGGTTCTCTGCTGCGTCAACTGGTTCCTCGCGGACACCGCCACAGGTGGAGGCATCTGTCTCTCTCTCTCTCTCTCTCTCTCTCTCCCTTCCTCTCTCACTCTCTCTCTTTCTCTGTCCGTCCCTCTCTTTGTCTTTCTGTCAGTCAGTCAGTCAGTCAGTGTGCCTGCCTGCCTGTCTGTCTGTCTGTCTCTGTCTGTCTGTCTGTCTGCCTGCCTGTTCCTCTCCCTCCGGGATCGTGATACGGCGTAGTCGTCGTCGTCGTCGTCGTTGTCGTCGTCGTCGTCGTCGTCGTCGTCGTCGTCGTCGTCGTCGTCGAGGTCAAGAAAGCACATACCGACCCCCCCCCCTGTTGCCGAAACCCTCCCCCCCCGTTGCCGAAACCCTCCCCCCCGTTACTGAAACCCTCCTTTCCGTTACCGACACCCTCCCCCCCGTTACCAAAACCCTTGCCCAGGTTGCCGAAACCCTCTCCCCTGTTGCCGAAACCCTGTCCCCTGTTGCCGAAACCCTTCCCAGGTTACCGAAACCCTGCTCTGGTGTTACCGAAACCCGGGGTGCTCAGTTGAGGAGGCTGGAAGGGTGGGAAGAATTGGGCCCAAGGTGGGAGAAGTGCGGGGGTCGGAATCGGAGTGGACCGAACGGGAATCGGAGTCGGGGCCAGACGAAAATCCGGAGCCGGAGTCGGAGCCGGAAGAGGCCAGAACGGGAATCGGAGTCGGTGTCGGAAGTGGAGGAGGACCGAACGGGAATCGGAGTCGGAGCCGGACGAAAATCCGGAGCCGAAGTCGGAGGCAGTCGGAATCAGAGTCAGAAGTGGAGGAAGACCGAATCGGTTCCGGGAACCGGAAACCCGACGAAAATCCGAAGCCAAAGTCGGAGCCGGAGGAGGCCGGAACGGGAGTCGGAATCGGAGTCGGATGTGGAGGAGGACCGAACGGGAATCGGAGTCGGGGCCGGACGAAAACCCGGAGCCGGAGTCGGAGCCGGACGAGGCCGGAACGGGAGTCGGAATCGGAGTCGGACCGAACGGGAATCGAAGTCGGAACCGGACGAAAATCCAGAGCCGGAGTCGGAGCAGGAGGAGGCCAGAACGGGAGTCGGAATCGGAGTCGGAAGCAGAGGAAGACAGAATCGGAATCGGAGTCGGAACCGGACGAAAATCCGGAGCCAGAGTCGGAGCAGGAGGAGGCCAGAACGGGAGTCGGAATCGGAGTCGGAAATGGAGGAGGACCAAACGGGAATCGGAGTCGGGGCCGGACGAAAACCCGGAGCCGGAGTGGGAGCCGGAGAAGGCGGGAACGGGAGTCGGAATCGGAGTCGGAAATGGAGGAGGACCAAATGGGAATCGGAGTTGGAGCCGGACGAAAATCCGGAGCCGGAATTGGAGCCAGAGGAGGCCGGAACGGGAGTCGGAATCGGAGTCGGAAGCGGAGGAAGACCGAATCGGAATCGGAGCCGGACGAAAATCCGGAGCCGGAGTCGGAGCCGGAGGAGGCGAATTCCTTCCGCGCCTCTCCCG